ACAAACATCTCTATGACATTCCCCGTGTCCGACTAAACCTTTACAAAAATTCAATGTATGTCAAAGGCCCTAAAATCTGGAACACCCTACCTGAAAATTCCAAAACTGCAGACACATTCATCACCTTCAAAACTACCATCAGAAAACATCTTATCTCCCTGATACACCCTGTCAACTAATAATACGAATACCACCTGGTGGTTCACACTTACACTCACTCACCCATTTGACCATAAACAGAAATATCAATCTCAATCTCAAAATAATGAATCTTAACTAGTCATAAGTTGGCCTGTGATACTCCAATACTGAAACTATGTATAGTGCCAAAACAAAAACATTCACATTGCTAAACTCACAACTAGTATTTAGTCACTTAGCCATAATACCAACTTACCTCATAATTTTGTAATATTTTAAACTTAAGATTTAATATAAGTCTGCCCGAAATGCCTAGCCATGCTAGGTGTTCTAGTGGTACACTCTGTAATTATTATTTTACTACATGTAAACCACACAATAACCAAATTCTGTAAACTCAGCATTGTAATCCTTATAGAGAATAAACTTTGAATATGAGATTTTTTCTGGTCGGCTTGACAGTGAACAGGAACCATTCGTGTCGGAGCTGGTAACAGCAACAACAACGTTTGTTTACATAACTCGTGAACAATCTACATTCTCATTCTCTCTCTCATTTATTCATTTAATCTTGTTTACTCACCTCTCACTGTACATTAAAGGTACAGATATTTTAAGGTAAGTAATGAGTGGACACGATTATTATATTATAGCTTAATAATAATAATATTAATATTAGTACATATGTATTATTGTAATAATAATGATTAATATTATTATTAATTTAGGGCACTGGAGCACAGATCCACTGTATAGCACTTTGTCTGGATTTTTTGGGTTATCCTAGGTAATTTATAATATGTATGATAACTCGGCTTACCTGTACCAGTGAGAGAGAGAGAGAGAGAGATACGTAGAGACAGCCACATTCGGTCAGCCAGTCAGCCAAATACCCTGCCACCCACCCACCCATCCAGCCAGCCAGCCACCCACCCAGCCACCCACCCATCCAGCCACCCACCCATCCAGCCACCCCCATCCAGGAAGCCAGCCAGCCACCCACCCACCACCACCCACCCACCCGGCCAACCACAGACCCGGCCCACCCAGCCTGATACGTATTACACACGTTCCAGAGTTGTTTCTCTTTACTTAGGGTATAGGTTATACTACATTCTGGCAGGATGACACTACCAATGGTATTCTCCCATTCCACTGTGTCGACAATACATAAAGATAATAGTAACATATGATACTGTATGCGATGTAAAATTTACAATACATATCACTACCATGTATACATTATATACAGTACATAAATAATTAAAATACAACAATAGAAGTAAATTATGGTAAAAAGAATGAAATAATGATTGTACATTACATTACAGTATTATGTAGGTAGTTTATATAGGAAAGTTTTGACATTATGCCCTACCCAATATGTCGGCAATTTTCAAAGGTTCGACTTTAGTCCATTTTGACTTATGACCGGTTGGTCGGAACCAAGCTTGGTCGTAAGTCGGATGGTAGGTGTATATATACGTCAAATACATTGGCTCGTAAGACGTATATATACGACCGAAACGGCCAAAGGGTTAACTCACTCTCAGGTTTGAAAAATTTTCAAAAAAAAAAAAAAAAAAATATGAAATGATAGAGAATCTTTTCCCATGGGTAATGACATCAAAAGTACAAAATTTGGTGGAACTTGTGCTCTCGCAAAGTTAGCAATATTTACATATTGGTGATTTTGCCCTCTTTGACCCTTATTTTTGGCCAGTTCCATTGTTCCAGTCAACTGAAATCATAGCTATTTCGCAAGAACTCCATTTGTTCTATCGATTGAATACAAGAAACCGCCCATTTACCAATTTCAGCTGCCCAATAAAGTGGTCAGAAATTGGCAATTTGGCCAATTTCACTCATTTCAAAAGATGCCAATTTCAAAATAGGGTACAGAATAAACAAGACAGACATTCCTAGTACTAAAATAACATTTTCTCTGTTCTTAGTCAAGGCCCCTCTTGTATTACTCTTGCTTTCCATTTTGAATTATATTTCTCACAAAAAATAAAAGATTTACTGTTATGCAGAATACTACATTATTGCAAAAATGGTATAAAAATATCAACACACTTGTGGAAGAATATTAGACTGGCCAGTTGATGTGTATTGGACACGTGGCGTGATTTATTTACTCTTGAACATCGGCAAGAATCAAACTTTTCCACTAATTCAAGCTCAGTTTCAAGGTACTTTTCATCGTGAAACCAATCAAAATTGTCTCTATTTCTGTAATATATCTTCATTCTATCAAGTGAGACCAAGAAAACGAGAGTACAACTGTAAATACCATACAGAAATGCACCACAAAGTCGTTTTCAACCAAAAACACAGTTGGAGTTTCTTTTCTCGTGCACTGCATGCTGCAGGATTTTTTTATGCTATGCACACTGACCATGCAGAGCCATTCTTTCATATGTAGGCCTACCAGCTTTCCTCTACCAGATTTGAAGGTGCTAGAATTTTGGCGTACAAATATGAGACCAACACTGGCTCTCAAGCCATACATATACGGGACCGACCCTGAAAGGGTTAATATATGTTAGTGTAAACTTTTTAGCTGGCCTTTATATGCATTTATAAGTGGAGAAAAAGAGCTTTCTACTTTACGATGATTTCCGCTATACGGTGGTAGCCTGGAATCTAAACTGCCATGTAAGTGGAGCCCTACTGTACTGGGTAAAATATATGGTAAAAAATTTTATTGGAGAAGTTAGGGCTAAAAGAAAAAGTAGGATTGGAGAGGAACAAGGAGGATATAGGAGAGATTGGGATGTGTGGGAATGGGTGCCAGATGTATAGGGGCAAGCAGGAGCTAGACAGCCATTCTCTCATTCTCACTCCTATTCATTCCTACCTCTTACATTGCACTTAACTCAAATCATTACATGTGCACATTACACCCTCAAGAGTTATGGTGAGGGTATAAGGTACCTGGGTAATGCAGTATTGGGTGGTAGTGATGAGGATTATTGTGAGAGGGAGGGTGAAGTGTGAGCTCCCGTTGTCTTTCCCTTCACTCACTCGACATGTCCAGTGTTTGAACAGTACCTTGTGGCAGCTACCACAGCTCAATACCAATGTAATTATTTAATTTACAGCATGTGAACTCTTCACGTGTATAAATTGAATGCATTTAGTAAAAACAGAAAATAATTGATTTAAGTTCTTTTGGTTGAATGCAGTACAGTGGACCCCCTCATAACGATCACCTCCGAATGCGACCAATTATGTAAGCGTATTTATGTAAGTGCATTTGTACGTGTATGTTTGGGGGTCTGAAATGGACTAATCTACTTCACAATATTCCTTATGGGAACAAATTCGGTCAGTACTGGCACCTGAACATACTTCTGGAGTGAAAAAATATCGTTAACCGGGGGTCCACTGTATTTGCATTGATCTACAGTAACTGAAGTTCAGCATTCATAAAGAATGAATTAGTTTTAGAGTACCAGTATCACATGTGCAGAGCATCCCAAGTCTGAACATTGTAAATTGGGGACCTATTGTACATATTGCAAAATATCAAGTCTCTGAAAATTTACCATTAATGTGAGTTTTTCTTCTGATTACTTTTAGCCTCTTCTTGCATATCAAAAAAATTAAATGTAACATTTACAAAAATATTTTTTTCCCCTTTTGTTTTAATAAAGATTTTATAGAAAACAGTTCCAGATGTAAAAACTTAGTCTCTTCCTCAAAGGAGTACTTTAACTTGTATATATGGAAAAAATGACACCAGTCAGGAGCCAACCAGTGAGGCATGATTTGGTGAAAGGGTTAAAGAAAATCAATGTTTTAATATTTTATTCTGATTGTAGTTAACTTCTGTATTTTTACTGTAATCTTGAGAATTTTTTGTAAGTATACATAAATACTCTGAAGGAAAAATTTGATAAGGCTTAGATTTTATAAAGATACTCTGTTATGAGGAGGAATCTTTGTCCAACAGTATACCTTTCCTTGCTTGTATCATATATACTGAACTTTGTACAATCATAGAACATTTTTCAGCGCAAATTACCTATTTTATGCATTGATTATCAAATATTTTGTTCCTCAAATAGTTAGCATTTTCTGTACAGATTCATCACTCATTATGCAGGTGTAAAGAATTCTTTTCCAAAGATGCTATCTTGTGAGTAATTGCATCTATAACATTGGTTTTTGACTAAGAAAATGCCCATATTTAAAGTTATTAATGTATATTCAGAGGTATCTCATTGGTGTAGCCTTTGGCAATTGGGAAGTTTTTTCTGCTCTCCTGATATAGTTATTATAAGAGCCAGTGAAAGAAAACATTCAATATCACTCATACCCTAATAATTCTAGAAAAAACAAAATACAGCACAACTCAAATGATCCACTGAAATGCGTCACCATCACCAAATCAGTTTTAAAGAAAATAACTTGTAAATATAGAACTGAAATTGTGAATCCTTATTTTACAAGTAGTTCAAAAGGTGAATTAGTACTTTGTAATATATATATCTGCTTGGGAAGAAGGAATCATATGAGATTATGAATAAAGCAATTTAAAACTTAGCATTGCAAAAGTTGAATGACCTGTAGCAGTTAGGGATAGACATTTGTTCTCATTCAGCTGAATGGCTCTAATGTGCATCTACCGGTATTAAGTGACCAGCAACTTTTTACTCGTAAGTTTCCTATTCTTCTCGCCATAGAATGGAGATGTGAAAGTTGCTTTTTTTGATTTTTCTTTACCAAAATCAGTGTTTTAGGGGTTGAAATAATGAAAATCTAAAAGCATTGTATTGTTACTTAGATTTGGATCGCACAAAAAAAGGCTATGTACACTATAGTCTTCCTGACAGTAAGTAAATTTTTAGGATTGGTCATAGTGGGCCACCCTCTCCTGGAGGAAATATGAGACGAGCACCTCCTCCTGCTGTTTCTAGAGCACCGCCTCCAGTGCCAATTGGTGGACGTCCAGCTCCAGCCATTCCTTCTCGGCCGACCCCGGCTCCACCAGGTCGACAGGGTAATTCAGGGATTCTTCCACCACCCCTCATTCCATCGTAAGTATTGCATGCTTGTTGCTCTTGCTTAAGTCTTTTTTCTTGGTGCTTGTGCACAGATTGAATAGCAATTGTTATTACTTTCAAATTATCTTTTTATTTGTGTGTGATTGTATTACCATATACTGTGTAAACTTTTTTTAATAATGGATGGTTATTGCAATCTTTTTTTCAAAGCTTGCAGGACAAATTTTTGAATTTAATTCCTTGCCTACAAAATTTAAACTTACTACTTATTGCTTTTTAATTTGAGAATTTTTGGTCTGCTCCACTTGTTTAACAGTTAAAATTCAGTAAAACTGCTCAGGTATTAATTTTCCTACACAGGTTATAATACTTATGAGAGCTAGCATGGCATTTTGATCTGGTAGAATACCATAACTATCTGGCTTAGTTATAATCGCTTGCAGCAAATTAGTCAATGGGCGCAATATTTGTCCTGTCTTTATGTCAGTAATTAGTTTGATTAACCTACTTTGTTTGCTCATAATGTCTTAAATAGCTGCATACAAATCCAGTAAGCCCTCTATTTGTGTGGGGGATACATTCCTGAGAACTGTGAAGTAAATGAGTGCAAGTAAAGTAGTTTTATGGGAAAAATAGGGTTTGCATTCCTGATATGTTCGTCTCAATTTTCACACTTATCTTGTAAACCATATACAGATAACACTCTCCAGCTACACTTAAAGAAAAGATGTAATGTTCAGTATTTATCAGTATTTTAGAAATAATTTTATGGCAGTGAAATGGTGCTGGGAATAGGAGTACAGTATTTTTCACTTAAAAGAATTTCTCGCTATGCCCTCCTTGCATTTAATGAACTCATCTGTGGCAGAGAGCTTTAATTTTGGCTGCATTCTTTTTAATTGTTAATATAAAGGTCTAAATGAATGATGAAAGTTGTTTCTCTTTTTGGGTCACCCTGTGTCAGTGGGAAACGGCTGATGTGTTAAAAAAAAAAAAAATAAAGGACTCGAGTTCTGGAGGTGGGAAGCACAATACCTGTGAAAGCATTTCTTTTTTGGGTCACCCTGCTTTGGTGGGAGACTGCCAGCATGTTAAAAAAAAAAAAAAAAAAAAAAGGGTACCTTTAGGGGGTTAACAACTTTTTTCTTAGTCAAAGGTTTTACTTTATAAGTTAATTTCAAATCTTCCTTATGGTTTAAGACTACTGGTAGCAGTATTGGGTCTGAAAATAGACGTTGAGTTTAGTTATGATACCCACATTCTATAGTGCTTTGGAAGGGTGAGTATTCAGTTTTCTAAAATAAAATTAGCAAATTGGCTAATAACCTACAAAGCATGTTAGAAATTTTATATCTAAGGTACAGCAGTGTTGAAAGTTTGAAGCCAATAAGAGGAGCCATTCTTAAGTTATCACAATTTGTTTGATAAAATTGGCATTTGCATAGCCAGTAACAAGAGAGATCTTCCTTTATCCCTTAAACTGTCCAGACGTTGATCTACGTTTGTACTGCTAGCGCTCCAAATGTAGATCTACGTTTTATTTTTCCTGCCTCCAAATTTGGCATGATTGGCCTGAGATGCCTGGTCAATATAGAATGTGTCTTAACACTCGGTGTGCACTGTATTAAAAAAATCTGGGACCACTTAGTACCTTGTGGGAGCACCAATTCAATTGAGCACCAGCTAGAACAAATAGCGTGACACCAGGGAGTCACTGATGTCATGTTGTATTAACACTCCCCATTTAAGTGGAAAGTGATGAATGTGGCCACAAGTGGTCGAGGAAATATAAAAAACCTCGATAATAACCCATGTGTAACATTTCTGCAACATCCTTTCATTTTTGATACCACTGGTAGTGTCATCCTGCCTGAATGTCCTATAACCTATGCCTTAAGTAAAGAGAAAAGATTCTGGAACATGTGTAATATGTATTTGGCTGGCTAACTGACTTTGGTTGTTTCTGTATCTGTCTCTATCTCCATCTTTCTCTCTCCATCTATCTCTTTCTCTCCATCTCTCTCTCTCTCTCCATCTCTCTCTCTCTCTCTCCATCTCTCTCTCTCTCTCTCTCTCCATCTCTCTCTCTCTTTTTTTTTTTTTTTTTTTTTTTTTTTTTTTTTTTTTTACACAGGGTTTGACAAGGTTAAGGATCCCTAGCTTTATTGACAGCTATATATTACAGGTTAAGGATTCCTAACTTTATTGGCAAGCTAAGAGCTGTTACCTACATCAGCTCATTTGAAAGCATTTTTATTGTTATGAGACATACAAGTACGGAACAGGGTGAAGTTGGAGCCATCTGTGGGCCAGCATTTTCATTTGATCAACTGACTTTATCTCGTTGACATCATTATGCTGTACGAATGTGTTCCATACTCGAGTCATCCTGGGTATGTATGATCTCAGATGGAGTGATGTTCTGGAGAAGGGTACAGCCAGAGTGAAGTTGCTGCTTTCTGCCCGTCCTGTGGCATAAAAGCTTGTTTCACGCTGTCCTCGAAGTGGATCCAAGTGTGGTATTTTGACAATATTGGCCTTGTACATAACAGTAAGGCCACCCACATCCCTCCTATGTTGAAGGCTCTGCTGAAATGACAGATCTATCCAAGATGGGTCCAGGCGAGAGATGAGACGTCTTGCTCTGTTCTCTACTCTGTCAAGCAGTCGCAGATGAGAGGGGGGGGGGCAGGCAAACCAAGAAAGTGGAGCATACTCAAGGTGTGAGCGTACTTGTGCCTCGTACAGGATCTTGCACCCCTACTGTCAAGCAGATGCGAGATACGGCGAAGTGCTGTAAGCTTCCTGGCTGCCTTGTTTGCAAGATTTACAACATGGTTCTTCATGGTTAGTTTGGAGTCAAATTTCACCCCAAGGATATCAACTTCTTCTCCAGGTGCCAACATCCTCCCATTCATCCTTACTACTGCACCAGCATTACCATCATGGTGCCTAGAGACGATCATCATTTGCGTTTTCTCAGGTGCAAATGTTACTTGCCATCTATTTCCCCAAGCTGATATAGCTCTCAGCTGGTGATTGATGTAGCTTAGAGCAGCTGGCATTTCTTCTCTTGGATAAGTGAATGTCAGTGTACAGTCGTCTGCACATGCATGTGATTCTGGGATGAGATGAAGAAGGTCGTTGAAGTAGACATTCCATAACAGTGGACCCAGCACGCTTCCTTGTGGAACGCTTGCCCCAATAGGATGCCTTGCTGATTCCGTTCCATTGAGGACTACACTTAGAGATCTACCATGAAGGTAATCACTGAGGAGACATAGCGTAGAGCCTGCAATTCCCAGTGCTTGAAGTTTTGCTAAGAGGCCCTGGTGCCACACCCGGTCGAAAGCGCCAGCAATGTCCAGTGCTACCACACAGCTGACTTTGGATTCATCCAGTGACTGGTGCCACTTAGTGGAGAGGTTTAACAACAGATCAGCAGCAGAGTAACCTTTCCTGAAGCCATATTGACGATCACAAAGTAGTGAGTGGTAGTCAAAAAAAATCTGTCATTTGTCTTGAGATTATTGTCTCAAGGATCTTACCAGTGATTGACAGGAGTGACACTGGTCTGTAGTTGCTGATTTCTGCTCTGCTCTTCTTTTTGTGAACAGGGACTACATTTGCCTCTTTCCATAGAGAGGGCCATTTACACTGTACTAGGCAGTGCTGAAAGATGCGAGTTAGAGGTGCTGCTAGCTGGTCTGCACATTTCTCAACAATCTTGGGCTCAACTTGTCTGGGCCCACAGCCTTTTCTTGGTCAAGTGATTTAAGAAGGAAATGCACCTCCTCCTGCCTTATTGTCACCACTGACAGTTTTGACACAGTTCTTGCAGCTAGCCAAGGAGGGTCCCTTGCTGGATCAGGAACTTGCATTTTGGTAGCAAAGTGTTCAGCAAAGAGGTCCGCCTTCTCTTGACTACTAGTAGAGGTGGTCCCATCCTGTCGATTTAGAGGTGGAATAAGTTCATCAGGCAGATAACCTTGTCTGTCCTTGACCAGGGACCACCAGGTTTTGGAGCCTACCCTACCTGATGCTAACTTTCTTTTAGTGTCCACCTCCCATTTAGCAATGGCCCACTTTTGAACATCACCCATATGCCTACAGGCTTGCATGTGCAAGTTCCTGTTATAGGTGGTAGGATGTCTTTATACCTTCGCCATGCTTTGTACTTAGCAGTAGCAGCCTCTCTACAACGAAAGCCAAACCAAGGCTGATCTGTAGGCTTTGTCACATATTGCCGGTGAGGAATGTGTTCTTGTTGCAGATTAAGGATGTGTCCAGTGAAGGCTTTCACTTGGTTGTCAACATCCCCCTGGAGAAGAGCATTCCAGTCGGTGGTGGCGAGCTCAGAGCAAAGGGCTGGCCAGTTACCTCTTTCCCATAGCCAGGTTGTGCGTGTGGACTCCTCACCTCGTTCTGTTGGGATCTCTCTCTCTCTCTCTCGCTCTCTCTCTCTCTCTCTCTCTCTCTCTCTCTCTCTCTCTCTCTCTCTCTCTCTCTCTCTCTCTCTCTCTCTCTCTCTCCCTCTCTCTCTCTCTCTCCTCCATCTCTCTCTCTCTCTCTCCATCTCTCTCTCTCTCTCCATCTCTCTCTCTCTCTCTCTCTCTCCATCTCTCTCTCTCTCTCTCTCCATCTCTCTCTCTCCATCTCTCTCTCTCTCTCTCCATCTCTCTCTCTCTCCATCTCTCTCTCTCTCTCTCCATCTCTCTCTCTCTCTCTCTCTCCATCTCTCTCTCTCTCTCTCTCTCCATCTCTCTCCACCTATATATCTTTCACACACATATACATATAAGTATAGTTATTATACATAGTGTAAATTAACTAGGATAACCCAAAACTTCCAGGTGAAGTGCTATACAATGCTTGTAGATATAAGGCATAATAAGCATGACTGGTAAGTAATACACATTTTCACAAATCAGACGTGACTACTGCATCGTGTGTAATACCTGTTGCTTTACGAGCCACTCCCTGAGACTGAGACACAAGCAGACAGACACAAGCAGACAGACACAAGCAGACAG